CCCACCACTGAATGGGAGCAAGGAGAGAACTTGGTGACAGGGCTAGGTTCACTTCCTATTGGCCTGGGCCATTGATCTGCTGACGACATCATCTCTAGCACCTCATCAGAGCTCTCCTTGGTGGGGTCTTTAAAAAAAAAAAAAAAAAAAAATAAGAGCGTCAGCCAAAATCATTTGATGCACCATGCTGTATTTTTCACAGAATAGGGAAAGGTAATTGTACATTCACAAAACTAGAATGGGAACCCAGGCTCATTTGTAGTACCTAAAACTACTTTTAAAAAGTGGCTCTCAGTTGACTTATTTAATTTAAAAAATGAACATTTACATAATACTTTACATGGCAACATGCTTGCTGCTAATCTCTCTGTGCTTCCCCCACAGATTGAAAAACATGAACAGATCCTCCTCTTTCTTTTAAATAACCACGTGGCTCAAGATAAGTGTAGTGAAATGAAAAAATTATTACAACACTAAATCTTGTAGGCATGGTGTGTGTGTGTATGTATGTGTGTTATATGCGTATACCCGTAACACTGTGTTGCCAATGTTAATGCAATTGCTGCTACTCACTGCTCTTATTCCTAGAATAGTGGCTGTGTTCAGGAGCAAAAAAAACTTGATTTCTTTTGTAGAAATTGTTTTGCTGTTAAATGCTGTTGGAATGTATCTGTACATATGTGAAATAAGAAATTGTACATTTGCACTGTCTGGATCCGAGCAAAGCTAGATGGAGCCAAGTTAAGGCATGAAGCCTCTGGCTGTTAGTGCAGTTCTTTTGAACAAAGGCAATACTTTTTTCTTAGGCAACTGTTTTTATAAGAAAACTCTTCACTTGCAAACCAAAAGTATTGTAAGAGAACTTAGTGAAAACTATTGAGTTTTCATTTGCAAGAGGGAAAAATTGGATTTTTGTCTTAGAAAACTCAACTTCATTTTTACATTTAATGTATAGCAAACATAAAATTTAAGTTTGAAATAAAAATGCATGTGAAATTTTAGGTAAATGATTTGTCATGAAGAATAACAGTACAGATACTACTTTTTTCATTTGGTCTACTTAATGTTCTGTGTCTAACTTACGGTTAGATTTGTTTAAAACCATATTTTCAACCTATTATTTTCCCTTACTGTTCCCTCCAGCTGCGTGAGGTAATATGAACAACCAAACTTGATTTTTAATTGGCATGTAAGGTATCTCTTTTACCTGCAAAATCATCCCTTTGTTATCCAGCAGTTCTGTTAGGCATTGTTTAGTGGTTAGAGGAAGGAACGGGCTCTCAGAACTCTTGGGTTCCCCATCAGACTTTGCCACTAAATTTAGACAAGTCACTTAACCTCTCCATCTGTTTATGCATCTTTATTTTATTAATGGATAAAATTCCTGTATATGTTCAGATGCTGTATCAGTGCATAGTATTTACCTCCTTTATTTGAAAGACTATATCACATTCACAATTTGACACCTTTATTGACAGTCTCGGCAGATAAACCAAGGGGTCCATAGACATAGAAATTGAATTTCTCTCAACTTTAGAGCTAGTTTCCATGTTTGGTTGGAAATGTGTATTTCCATTGGTCATGTGCATCTGTTTTGTAGAGACGTAAGGACTTCAGTTTACAGTGCTGCCAATCTGATACTTTTCAGGAGCACTGCACTTAACTTGAAGGAGTTGGAATTTTTAAACTGTTACTTTGCTTGTGCCACCAGACTTAGTTTTCATTCCTCTTGATAAACTTTGAGCAAAGTTTTGATTGCCTTAAAATAGGGGATTTTTTTTTACCACTTTGTGTATGGAGGTAAACTATTCCTTACCTTTGTAAATTCAGGATGTCTATGAAAAGAGTCAGTGTAGTCCAATTCCACCAAGTCTATTAGAGACCTGTTCCTTTAACACACCTCAGTGATGTAAAAACTCTCGGTGTGTATAAGTAGTTACGCAGAAGGTTGGGAACTTCCAGTGTTTCACTAAAAGGTGAATCAGCAATGTTCATGAGTTTGTGTTTTTCCCTAAGCACAGGGTGAATCTTTCACTCAGAAATAAATTCCATTTGAACACTTATCGTATCCAGTCAGACAGTTGGCTTTTATTTGAAACTGCATTCTAGCATTCTGCTTTGCTGGATGTCAGATATGGAAAACATACCCTATGTTATCCCCCTCTCTAGTTTTTGTGTGTGAAATACTTATATGGACCAGCAGACCGAACTGGACCCTATTTTAATGACATTAACTTACGCATTATCAAGGAATAAGTGCATTGTTGCATGTTATTGTTATCATTTACAGCTCCCCTCTCTTTCTCTAAAAACATTTGGCTTCTGGTTATGAGACTCTGAGTATGATATGACCTGCAAAATCCAAAATATGCCAAGAAAATAACATGCTATTGATGTTCAGATGAATAAGAAGATATATAGCCTCACAAAAAATTCCTTTGGAAGCCAAGGTTAGTATGTAGCATTTGTATAGCTCTTTTATATTTTCAAGCACTTTACAAACATTCAGAACCAAATGTGTTACAGTTGAACTATTAATTGTCAATAAAAAGTTCAACTTCGGAGGAGTTCAACATAAGTATTTGGAGGTGAACTAAAAGGCATTTTTACAGCCAAGACGCAAGTTAGCTTCCCATATTTTTTGCGGCAACAGTTACTGACCTCACCAATAACAAAAACAGAAGGGAGCAACAGTTCCTGTATGGCATTAAGGACAAATTCTGTCTCTCTACTTGGTTCCCATTTATGTCAATAGGAAGTGGTGTATGCATGTGTGTGCTTAAGTTGTTTTTAGATCTTGGTGGATAAGTAAAGTAGGAAACTATTTTCTTAATGTGTTAAGATCTTTAGTTTTAACATCTTCTCAGAAGCATGACCATATTCTTAACTAACCTCAATGTCCTGAGATAGCCCATCA